GTCCCCGTTTTATGCAACTTATCCAAAAGAATCACAATACAAATCAAATTTTAAAAAATGTTCTGTTCCATTTCTTTACAATTAGGTTATAGAAACATTTAAAGGCTGAAGTGATGACATGTAATCTCTTATATTTTGAAAGATATCAGCAAAAATGAAACCAAACTGATGAATATTCAATTTGCTGCTTACTGTGAGAAATAATTAAAGTCAAATTGTAAGAAGTACTTGACAGAAGATGGGGGCTGTGCTGATTAATAAATGAGACACTAGTCTAGTGCTCTATCACGCAGACTGGTGAAATACAGCAAGAGAAGGTCAGCTCTACCTTTGGGGTGCAAGTTTGTCTGCTGGGGAGGCTGTCTATCTGGGCCTTTGTCTCTAGCAGGATGCAGCAGCTGAACCTCAGGGGCAGGGGGAAGCTGTTGAGAGGGGTGAGCTGGGATGCTGCCAATTCTTGATGGGGGCCCAGGCTGCTGAAAGTTGCCTGTGTGCTGATGAGGGGCACCAGCAGGGGGTCCAGAAGACGCTGACAGCTGCTGCAGGGCCAGCATCTCTGGGCTTTCCAGCATGGAAGCCAAGCGTGTCCTGCCGGAGGAGTCTGAGTGGGGCGCAGTGGGACGTGCAGACATGAGCCCAGGGGAGCTGGCTGCTGCAGTCATTTGAAACTGGGCGTTGGAAGGATGGTTGGGATATCCGGCAGCTTCTGGCCACGGTTTATGACCCACAGGTGGGGGGATTCCACCGTAACTAAAGTTGCGCTGGTTCACCATGTTTGGGTCTTGAATAGACATGCCGCTGGGCCTCTCCTGCCCCTGTTGATTCATACCACTCCACATAGTAGGTAGTGGCATGCCAGCAGGTCTCAAGCCTGGGTAGTTGTGCTGAGGTGATACTTCCGGGCCTGAGAACCTGTTCCCCATAGGATGCACAGTGTGGCCCTCTGGACGGTGGTGGGATGGGTAGATGCTGGCTTCAGGAGGAGCTCCAGGCTGTAGGGTCATGGGACGTGGTCCTAAGCATGGGCCATGAGTCGGACCCATGTACGAGTGCTGCTGCTGGTTTGGATCTGGACCCACTGGATACCTAGGACCCATGTGGTGTGGCTCAATCATGCGTTGCTTGGAGGAAAAAAGGAAAATAAAATATGAAACATCTGGCTTTGTCTGTTATAACAGCATCAAGATGCATCATACACACGATTAGGTGATTGGTTGTGTGTAATAGGTCAAGCATACCTGAATGTTAAAGTTGTGAGGCAACTGGTTTAAGTTGGGGTCTCCTTGTCTGGAGAAGTGAACCTGGTAGGCAAAGCGGGGATCCATGGCCATTCTTTGGGCATACATGTGTGGACCGTGAGGCCCAGGTGGACCAGGCTGACGGAGCTGTTAAAATAAAGAATTTATTATATTTTTCCCGTCTTGCATTTCAAACAGGAATTAAGACTCCCAATAAATAAATATATTAAAAAAGGATTAAAGTCTTGTCTGTGGATACCTGTTGCCCTGGGTGGTATAACCCCCTCATATCTCCTTCCCGGATATGCTGCTGGCTTGGAGGCAAGCTGTGCGGGTGAGGGGGGCCGTTAGCCCAATGAGGATGCAGCCGTGCCAGCCTGGCATCCTCCTCTGAAGTTGCGCTACTTTTGCCCTTCTGTGAGCTTCGCTTACGTTGCGCTTGCTCAGTAGCCCTGATCAAACTTTCAGGCCCGAAAGCTTTGCTGTTACGGCTGCGTTTTCTTTCCTTGCGCTCCTTGTCTTCTCGACTGACGTGGAACTCTTCGTCCGTGTCACCATCCTCGGATGGGAAATGTTTTAATAAGGCTCGGCTAAAACAACGCTCCAGAGACTCGGCCATGATGGTGTATTCTGAGGACAGAAAGACGTCAACATCAGCGATTCTTTTGCGATCAAACCCCCGAGAACTTCTTTTTTTTTTAACATAAACGCACATCTTCAGCAAACATACATCACATGTCTATAGCATCTACTCATATACTCAAAGAATAACGTTTCATGTACATGCACAGTCACTCCCACAAACAGCCACTCATGAAGTGACCATTAGGTGAGACACATACCAACAGAACACAAAAATCCCATCTCGTCCTGGCCCAGTGCTAACCAGCTGACCAAGTCAGAGGGCGTAAGTTTGACCCTTGCTCCTTCAACCCCTTCCCTCTACTCTTGCCCCACCCTGGGCCTCCTCACCACTCACCTCCCCCTATTCCCTGAGGAGAGTATTCAGTTGGATGGATGGCTCCAGACAGGGGGCTTAGGGGCTGGAATGTTTCTC